CTCATATCCCATAAACTGAGACATTTGTTTTTCCTTTCTCTGGTATAGAACAAAATTGACTTTAAACTCATTGTAAATTCAGAGAGCTTGGTGACAGTGTTTCCTGCCATACTTAAAAACGATGTGATCACATTCACAGCACTGCAGGTTTGTCTCTACGACGCACAGTTACCTGAATAGTTTACTGTGGTAGAAGCACTAATTGTACACACTGGATGGCTGCCTGCAGAATGATACTGTATCATTAGCATAAGAAGTCAGCACACTTCTGCAAGGAAATGACAAGGCCCTAATGTTGGAAATCGGTGGATTATCTGTGATCCAGTTCGCTCATCAGAAACTCCTGAGGCTCTACATTCTTGATCAGCGCAGATATAAACTGCCTGAAATTACTTGGTTACTTGAATTTGAGAAATGTAACAGCAGAATGTCACCTAACGCAAACACGTTGTCTCAAACAAGACCTCAAGTCTCCTGTCAACACTTGATTGCATCATCCTTGATGGTTAAATGCTTTAGCCTTGTTTTACTAGTTCACCTCATACGGGCTACTTCCCAGTATTTGGTTTTTCTGTGGAATTTGCACCTACCTGGACAATGCAGTTGCTCTTGCTTTCCTTTCTCCCTCGACCCAGAAAAAGCTGAACCAAGCTGTAAATCAGGAACAAAAACCTAAAACTGGAAGTTCTCTAAAGGAGGGGGGGTGGTAGTTTGGTGTTGAGCTGATCTCTTGTTTGAATGAGGGCGAACATACGTTGCATGCCACCAGTGCGTGGTCATTTGGCTGCAGTATAAATGCATTTCAGATCTATAGATGCTGTAGTTGCCTTAATTGTTTTATTTTTTCCCATAGGTACCAAAGAAAAGAGTTCTTGTTTTGTTTAATTTTCTTTTATGCACATCAACACACTTGTGGAAAAAAAACAACAAATGACAAATAAAAATTGGAAAACACTTTTGTTGAACTTGTTTTTGTCTACTTTTAAAGGAAAGGCCTTTGTTATATAACCCACACATATCAGGAAGTAGTGAAACTTTATACTTTAAAACTTAGGTAAAATAACATGATACTTTCCGTAGTTCAGTAATACTGGACAACCGAGGTATTTTGGTAGAGGAAGTAGCATGAGACAAAAGAGGACACCGGTTGTACAGATAGGTGGAATAGTTCCCTTTTTTATTGACTGTAAGCTCGGTGCTGCTCAGGCACCGGGTGATGAATCAGAATCCGCGTGCTTCTGTGCTCGCTCACTCCAGTACATCTGTGACGCAGGGACAGACAGAGGATTCCTTTACGCTAGCTTTACATTGCAAACACACCACAATTCAGTAGTTTTCCAGGGCTCTCAAAGCAAGTGTATGAATAACAACTCTCCAAGGTTTTTTAATGACTCACTGCCCCTGTGCAGGTACTGATTGATGACTGCACCAGCATGTGGTTTTACTGCTATAGAGCACAAAGCGAGGCCAACTCTATCCCCAAAAGGATTAGGACTTACTGCTTTACTGTTTTACACCGGTGCTGGAAGGCTTTTCTTCCTCCAACCATAAAGAATCCTAAAGATGACCGTTATCACTGCGTTAACAACCTTGGATCAATTTTAAAACAATCCTTTCAGCATCTTTTAGGGCAGGGACAGTGCATCCTTGGTCCAAAAATAGCCAGAAGCAGATGATACAGTATAAATCAAGCACAATAAGCACCTGGGGACAGACGTCTCAGAGTGCCCTGGATTCTTGTCCTAGATCTACGCACATACAAGGAGGACTGTGTTCAAATAAACAATCCTAGCATCTTATTTTTTAGGTCAAGCAGTAGACGGACTTTGTCAAATCTGTGGTGACTCGAATATATCTCTAGAACATTTATGTCTGGATACATAAAACTGGAAAGAATACTAGTTTTTTTTTGTTTTTGTTTTTTACAAGCTTGAGTTGTGCATTTGTAATTGCTCTTGGGGCATTTTATTGTTTACTTTATTCTGAACCCAGCCTATAAAAGGGTTTAACACTATTTAAATCTAGCTGAAACTGGCTCTGACTGGCTCTGTTTTTCACTATCCGGTTCATTGCATAACCTACAATTTAACTCTCACTGTGTTGCTCAAAACAGTTCACCACATCTTGCCTCAGCAGGTACTGTGAGTCTACCTCAAAAATGTTAATCACTATCTCTAAACTCTTTATGGTGTGTGTGGCATTGAGAGGTTTTCACCTTGCTCCTTGGTTGAGTCCTGACTAACTGCATCTGCAGAGGAAAAATAAGAAAATGAGGGGGAATAACAGCAAGTAGTTATAGCGTGTGGGGTTCATTCGTATGTTGAGTTTTCAGTGGCCATTTTACTTCTTCTTACCCACACTGCTCACAGCCTCTGGCTTTGCCTCATGGTGCTCTGGGAAGACATTAAAATGCGTTTAATGAGTTTAAACAAAAGTACAGGACAGTTAAAGCTTTTAAATCCCTTTTGTCTGTTCTATCTGTATCTAAATATTCTTTATAATAGTTTAAAAACAACTAAAAACTGAAAATATTATTTGAAATTCATGAATATGAAGAAGCTTGTATTATAGTGTTTGAAACTTGACTATAGTGTGTTTGTGTAAATCTACAGCACTTACCCCTCCTCTGTCTCCCTGTCGAATATAATAAATACAGAAATTGTCAGTGATAGAATGACAGAAGCTGAAATTACAGCTTTAATGTAATGAAATAAACCTCACAAACTCACCGTCGACTTCCTCAGAGGACTCAGACTCTGATTCTGTGGACATCAGAGGAGACAAATCAGCCACAGGATTGTGATATTTTACAGTGTACTTTGAGATCCAGTTTCAGACCTTCTTTCTATACTGTCCTCCATTGCCATCTACAGGCTGATATTTAAACAGTGAAACCTCTGTTACCTTCATGAGCTGGAGTGTCAGAGTTCCCACCTCTCTCTGCTGGAGGAGGAGGAGGAGGAGGAGGAGGAGGATTGTACAGTTATGTAATGCTCTCAAGATCACAAGTTGTCTCTTAAAGCCAGCGGGAAGTTTTATTTTACACACCTTTGCTGTCATCCACAGCTTCAATATGTTCCTCCACTGTTGAAAACGTTTCAACAGGTGATTCTGATATTTAACACACACCATCAATATGTGCATTCATCATGTGATTAAGTATAACTTACCGGATCCATCTTGAACAGCCTCTGTATGTGGAATATTGGAAAGATTGAATCACCAGCTGCACCTGAATCAGCTGTTATTGATGTGTTTTGAATGTGTGGTTCCTCTTACCAAGGTAGCGAGCGTCCTCATTCTGTTCCTCTGTAACTTCACAGAAAAGGTAAAAAGATGAAAACTTGTTTCAAATGCAACAAAATGGATGAAAGGTATGTTTGCTTACGGCCATTGTCCTGGACTTTGGTCAAACTTACCATTCATCTGAGCCGCCTCATTCTTTTGAGCAGCCTCAAACTCCATCTGATCTGGAGACAGAGGGATACAATGAAATGAAACAAGATGAAATGGACAGTTTGTTTAATAAAGGAAGTGAAGAAATGTAGTGCTACAGATAAACTGATGAATTAATTAAATTAAATAAAACATTTTAAATTAAAGAAATTCAGAAACCAACCAGTCTCCCTGTTTCATTATGAGACAAATTAACTCTTTCAGCTAGATTTATACACATAAAGCACAATAAAACACATAAAACATACAAAATATCGTTTTTAAAATCGGCTGCAATTGGATACCTATTTTCTTCAGTTCAGTTAGCCCATCTGCATAAAAAAAATAAGATATTTGGGTTGAATTACATCAGTTTTGAGACATGCAAGTATCATCACCCTTACATAATGATAATTTATGATCATTATTATTGATAATAATTCCTCACCCTGCTGAGAAACTACTTCCTCTTTCTCTGCAGATTCCAGAGAGGCTGAGAGAGCTAGAAGTCATCACAAGTCCATCAGTGAGGTTTCAAATAACACACATAACTGAACCTTCTTAATCTTAAATAAGCCTGAATGGAACAAATCAAGCAAATATGTACAAAAACAAACAAAAGACAGAAATTGTGTCCCCAGAGTTTTACTTTTCCAGTTTCCATCAATAAGATCACCACATTTTATATTATAATTTGAATTCGAAGATCGTAATCATAACTATCCTTACCGGAGTGAAATGCTGCCACAGCGAGGAAAACAAACAGTGGCACTAGAAATCTCATCCTGGCTGCTGGTCTGGCTGCGGTTGAAGATTTTGGATGTCCCTTTCAAAACTGTGTGTTGTGTTGTTGTCCGTTAGCAGCCTCTTATATCTTCAGTCACATCACATGCCCACCCATGGACAGGCAGCTCTGGTACCATTGTCCCTCCCTACCTGAGAGGACAGCTGGGTGGCACATCAGCACACAGACGTATCCTTATTCAGGCCGTCAATGCCCCCCATTGTTGGCTGTCCAGTCACACGGGCCTTTATTTGGAATGTTACTGTGTCTGTTTAAAAAAATGAATAAAATGGGAGTCCTTGCGTCCAAACTGAAAACAATGTTCATTTCCTTTTAGGAATGGAAATGGTGATTTCACCGCACATCCTTGGCTTATGAATGATGGGTCACAATGTCTCAGTGACACAATTCCTCACACAATCATGCAGATCAAAGAGAGAAAGCAAACAGCTGCAGCTACTGACGTTTTTTTTAACTTGTACCCTCAGGCCTTAGACTGAAGAACATTTTATTCTTCTCACACTTAACAAATGAGAAAAACCTGAATTAAAATGGATTTTAAAAGTGAAACGAGTTTTTAGAGATTCTACTATGAAGACAGGACTAAACTGATCAATGTCACCATCACACACTTCATCATGAAACAAGTTTACAAATTGCTTCATAGAAAGTGAGATCTATCTATATAAGAGCAGAATGTCTTGAGAATGCAAACATAATCTAACCAGGCTTTTACTTTTTGGCTGAAAGAGTAAAATGTTAAATAACAGTACAAAGCAGACAAGGTCTCATCCCTTTAATGTGATCGTAAACACACAAAACAAACAGTATGATCTGGGAGGTTTCAGTAATGTTTTCCAATCAAATCAAATCTGAAATCAACTGTTTTTACAAAAAGATTTGTAATGGAAAGCTTCATTTTATTTGTGCACAAGAAGCCAGTTTAAATACTCCACATGGTTGTTGTTTTTTGGCAAGGGATTTAAGTGTGAAACTGAAACTTGTCTATCCATTAAACCACAATACAGTATTTCTTGAAATATACTCACAATCAGAAAAACGTCCTCCAACAATCCAACAATCTAGAAAAATACGACTCTAAAAGTGCTCAAGAAACAATTAGCAAACTACAATTTTCTTCCCAAAGTGGCTAAAGAACACGAAAGGGGTTTAAGCGACATGAAATCACAGGCACAGAAAACGTTTAAAACAGATTCTCCTCCATATGCAACAACTGAATCCAGAAAGTTTGGTCCTGGTGACCTGACTGATGGCAAAAAAATGACACAGGAAAAATGATTTCTAAAATTATAGGGAGACATATAATTTTATAAAGACATAAGCCAATTACTCTGATATCTTTAAGGCACAATTATAGTTTTAAAAACCTAAATTCTGTTTTGTCAGTGTGATTAGACTGTCCAATTATAGTCTTATTAATATTATTATCAGTATAATTATATAGTAAGAAAAAACCAACAATAACATCCGATTTACAAAGAAAATGTCGTTACCACAACTCTCTTGCAGACAGCCGCGTGTATTCACTAACAACGTATACAGTATTCTGCTGAGGAGGTAAAGCAACTGAGGAATCACCGGAAGACACATACATCCGTCAATAAAAAGGACATCTTTATATCAGCAGACGCTCGGCAAGAATTCGCCGAAGGGTAAAGGTGGTTGGTTTGTGTGACACCGACGAGCTGATTTCCTGGATGTCAGCTGTACCGTAATCATAACAGCAGGAACGCACATAAAAAAATACATCTGTTCAAGACACTCATGTAGACAGAGGAAAACTTCTACCCATAGTGCAGCATGTTTCACAGTGATTACAAAATTCCGCACAGTACAATGTGGATCCACCTTTTTGTGGGATTTGTGCGACTGTTGCTGGTGAATGATGAACTGTGGCTACTGTTTGTGTGATTAAAAGGATATAGGCAGTTTGTTCTTAGCTTTGGTCAATATTCCTATTGGTAATAATATTGGGCTGCATAATTAATAAAAAATATTGTCAACATTGCAATGTGGCCAAGCAGAAGCTGCAACTTTTGATAGAGGTAAAATGTGTGACAGATGTCACATCAACATGATTTTAATTGTTTTTTTTCTGTGAAAATCATTCCCACTAATCGCAAATCAATCATATCATTTATTCATGCAGCCTTACAATAAAAACTTTGTACTCACCAAATTAACTGCTGAGGTCTCAGAAAGCAGAGACATCACGATCAGACAGGTTTTAAACAAACGCTGCAGGTTAGTCTCCTATTTTAAAGAGACAACGAAGACAGTAACGACTAACTGCTTCACCTTAGAAATGCCACATCTCTTCCTGTGCAGTGAGGGATTCTTTACCTCCAAATAAAGGGGTCTAAATAATCTGGTTAAACTGCTGACTTACCGCTTGTCCGATCTCAGAGGTTATTTGGTGAGTAAAAGATAGAAATGGTGAAATGACCAAAACCACAACAATAAGATCCCCGTTGCAATAACCCCAGAATGGCCCTTTAAGTTTAAAGAGGTCAGAGCACCTCAGATACCTGAAAGAGAGAGTTGGGATTTGCCCTGACAGGAGTGTTGTTGTAGTGCAGCAGGTGTGTGGGTTTATACTGTACTTAATTGATCGTATTTTAATGCTTTTGGTTCTCCCCGTTCAAAGTTCCCCTCTTAGTCGGGTGTGCAGGTCCTCCTGGTCGATCTTGCTGACCTGTTGGTGCCAGCGGTGGTGTGCTAGCAGGGCCACGTTCCTGGCAGAGATGGCGCTCATCTCCATGGCGCTTGCCGCCCACTCCACAGCGTTGAGGTAGTACATCCGGTCGTGCAGGATGAAGGGAGGGGTCTTACGGTGCGGCGGGCGGTAGGAAGGGTAAGCCAGCCACCGAGTTTCAGACACCGAATCCCAGGAGACGAACATGTCCTGCAGCTGCTCCTGGGACAGCGGCTGTGGGGAGAACACCTTCCAGACTTTGGTCTGGCTGGCAGGGGGTCGCTTGTAACCCTGAGGGATGTGCACAGGGTCAAGAGAGCCCAGGCTGTTGATGTTACAGCCCTTTGAGTCTGTGGTGAGGATGTCGGACACGGTGAACTCCGAGGCTGGCTCTGTGGTACCGAGGTAGGACATGTTCAGCATGGCGTGGACCAGGGTGGAGACGGTCTGGTGGAAACGCCCGGGGTAGTGAGACGGGATTGGAGGGGAGAAGCCCGAGAAGGTGATGTCGGACATTCCCTGGTGAAGCGGTGTCGCTATTACCACGATGTCATACAGAGAGTGCGCTGAACCTGACTCTCCAACGTAGTTGACCTCATAGAAACTGGTTGTGGCGCCTGAAAGTGGGAGATGAAGGGAAGTTGAGATAAACTGCTTGACATTTTAAAAAAAATGTGTGGGACAAAATGACCAAAATGAAGGAATGTCAATGGTACCTGTCTTGGATGGTCGAACTTTGACTGAGATGGAGGTCACTCTGGCAGGGATGAGCTCACTTTTGCTGTTGTACAGCAGCCCTGAGCACACTCTCTTATTGCCTCCGTCCACTGCCCACAGGCCCGGATCTGCTCCTGCTAATGAAACCGCCCCTGGACGACAACACACGCAGAAAAAGACCTCTATTTTACAGCTTTTTTTCCAACAGAAAATGTGTATTATTATTATTAGACGTGTGATGAAACAATCCAAACTCCTACACTGTAACACATACCTACAAAGCCATTGATGCGGACACTTTGGCCATAGTTGACGCGCATGATGGGTGCAACGATATCATTTAGAAAGACCTGTGAAAATCCCTCTCCAATCATTGTTTCCTCCAGGGTCTGATTCACCATGGTAAGAAAACTATCGCCGCCCATGGCGTGCAGGAGCTTCTCCATGCTGGTGAACGAGTAGCCATACTGCTGATACTGGTAGATCCTATAAATAAAAGGATTTAACAGGACATGGAACAGCGGCTCTGTGTGGATATTCTCAGATATTGTGCTAAAAGATGGAGCTTTTGGAGCCATGACAACTGCGTTTTCTCCTCACCTCATAAATTTGTCCAAAATACTCTCCACCCACATATGCATTCGGATAAAGTTGAACCCATATTGCCACAGCATTCGCAAGAAGTTAACTATAAACCAGTCACTCTCCTCAAACGTGAGCTCCTTTCCATCAAATATTGCCATTTTAGAGGGGACATCTTTCCTCGGAGGAATACCTGAAAAAAACACAAGCTCGGTTCAAATACTGGACTGCATACAAACTATGGATTCAGTTACTTGTGTATTTGTGTCGTTTCATTTACGAAATGCTGAGTTTACCTAATTTTTCAATGAAGTGCTTCATGTGAAGGTTCAGAGGGTGAATCACAGCCCCTCCCGCCTCATACTCATAATCTCCGATCTTGACTGTCGCCAGTCGCCCGCCAACAGTGCCGGGTTCAAACACATCAATCTTCACCCCGGCTCCAAACTCCTGCCTCAGGTAATACGCTGCAGCTGTGCCACCGATGCCTGCTCCGACCACCGCTTTAAAGGAGCAATAACAACAGAGTAAACAACAGAGTAAACAACAGCTCTGCAACAGGCTCATTGGGAATTGTTCTCTTGAGGTTACTGCATGTACAAGTGCATTTAATAATAATCATTTCACCTTCATTTGATTCCTAACACTGGTTATACTGTAAGTCCATCTGCACTCATCCACAGAATAAATATCGTTCCCCAATTTTATTTTATTACACTAGCAAATGATATTTATCCAAAAATAGACACATCACACGCTGTATTTTCTTTAAACCTCTGTACTACGGCTGCAGATAATAATGATTTTTATTATAGATTTATCAGCTGATGTTTTGACCGGTTGATAATTATTATTTTAAGATATATATATATATATACACATATATTTTTCTCATTTTGTTTTCCCAGAGCTTTTACTTTTAGTGGCATATTCAAATGAAGTCTAGTCTGAACAACAACCCAAAACCCCAGAAATATTCAACTTGAATTATTTAAAACTGAGAAAAACAGAGAATCCTCACACATGAGAAGCTAGAACCTGCACATATTTGGCATGTTTGCTCACTAAATGCCTTAAAGTGATTCATCTGTTCTCAGAATTGTTCATCAATTCAGTTCCCTGAGTAAGGCTGATAGTTTTGGTAAGAGTAAGGTCACATACGAGTCAGAGATCCTGATAAACTCATCATTTTTAAGGGTCAAACCAAGAAAAATATTAAATTACTGGTGTTCTTTCATATTGACTCTGACCGATGACTTTGACAAACTTCCCTCTGTATTAAGTATAAAGGATATTTTATTGTAAATGCCATCTCCCCATTGAACTTACATACTGTATCACTGAGTGTAATTATGTGCAAATATAATAAGAAATCAACCCTCTGAGAGGACAGGGCTTGCCAATCCTCCAGTGAAGCAGACTTTAGAAGAGCATCAGAACAAACAGGAGGCAATAACAGAAAAGAGTATTGATCTGTATTTGTTGTTGCATTAGGACTGTCTTACCTATCTTTTTGGGCTGATCCTGCAGCTCTGGAGCTGAGGCTAGACTTCTTCTGCCAGAGTGCCAAAGCCCCAGGAACAGCAGCGCTCTCAGTGACAGGGTTTGTGGATTCATTGTGGGCATCAAGGTTAGTCCTCTGCACTATGGAGCATCTGCACAGGAGGAATAAACCAGATCCGCCAGTCCCTTATCAGTCTCGGTCAAAGGTTGCACTCACAGGACTTTACACCAAGAACAACAAGGACATAGTAACACAGATTATTGTAAAGTGGAGACAAACGCTTTCATGTCTATTTAAGTGTATGCAGAGGAAGCGTTGAGTGGTCACAGTGACCGGTGTGGACTCACTATTTCAAGAGTCACTACAGGGCTGCTGTTTGGTCCACAAGTTAAACCTCGCCGTTTACACAGAGACAACTTTAAAACTTGGTAAAACTTTCTCTCTGTCTACTTAAACGGAAAAGCGAACTGTCAACAGAAGCTACAATGAGACTAGGAAGTGATAATAACTAACTAAACTTGTTTTAAACGGTGGAATAATGTCGGAGCACCGGGGACGTCTCTAGACGTAGAGGAACACTTCCGGGTCCGCTCAGGTTTGAGTTTCACAATAAAATGCTTTAAAAATGCAAACGTTTATACATTATAAGTATATTATAGTGGCAAAAGAAAAAATAGTCCATATTGTTGTATTTATTGTACAATGTCCTCGTATTGCCTTATGGCCTATATAACATTTTATTTAATCAGGTAATATTAAAGTCAATATCTCACCTACAGTAGATTAAATAAGTACAGTTCAACAGTCACACAAAAGCACAAATCTCTAAATAGGTCCAAAGTTATAGATCTCACATTCTAAGACATAAAAACGAAGAATGTGTTGTTAATGTTAAATTACCTTGTTGAACATTCTCAAAATTACATATACACCTATTTCCTCCTGAGATCTGATCTGGTGAACAGTAGTAATAGAAACCTTTATATACATAAAATGTTCTTGTTGTTGCTAGTGAAGGCCAGCCTACTTTTTAATATGGTACACAGTGATGAGTATGATTTTTATATCCTGTAATGAAAGGTAAGCCACAATGGTAGACTGCATCAAGTTGAATAAGAAGACTTAATTGCCAACTGGACAATGGGTTTTCCATCTTAAAGAGAACATAAGTTAATATTTATACGAAACCCATTGTTATTTTTTACTGTCTGTGCCAGTTGTTGTTCTACATGGGGTTTAAAAGTATGTAGCTATACAACCAAATATGCTGCAACTATAATTCAGTTTCAATAGTCTTAAGAATAAAACACAAATCCTCTTATGTTCATTCATTACAAGAGACTCAGAGATGATAGTGTAATTTAGACATGGCTTGAGATGGAGAAGAGTTTATTAAGACTTACTGTAATCTGCATTAAAATGTATACTGTAAGTCTTTGTTGCGCTAATAATATTATTAATGTTGACTGTTAGGGTTCGACCTGTAGTTTTTATCACAGACCATGCTATAATTAACAATTTAAAATATAAACATTTCCATTTAATATCATGAAATGTAAATAGACTGAAAAGAAAAGTCTAGTTAGGATACGTTTTAATGATATTTTATTTTGAAAGGTCAATGACAACTTTAAAAAGCGGATCGTGGAGCTTTGGAGGCGCTGAGCGGAAGTTGTCATCAATCCGCTGTTATTTCTCATAAAACGATAAATAAATATTATATAATAGTTCATATCCGCTAATGATAACAAACAGTGTGGCTCCCAGAGTACATTATAAAACTAAGAGTGTTTTTTTAACGCTGTCGGGGTAAAATATGAAATCTATTGAGAGTCAATTTTGAATTCTGACCGAACAAAACGGAAGAGGATAGTTCTTGTTGCGGAAGTAAAGCGGAAGTAGCGTTATCGTCTTCTTGTCTTGAACCATGCTTGAATGGAGGTGACCTTAGGTACTACCAAACTGTGAAGCAAGGCAACCTGGGCGACAGCTTTGTACACCGCGTCAGTCCGGTCCGGCTTAGATGCTAAACTCGAGTCAAATATTAGTGCGAACACTTTGCGGAGAGAGCAGGACGAGCAGAGATGGCAGAGGAACACCAGGCCCGCATGCAGAATGTGGTGGAAGATATGGTCCAAAGCCTGGAGAGGGACCACATCCGTAAAATGCAGGTGTGTGTGTGTGTGT